TTATTATTTATGGCAGCATCATTTGAACATTTAATCGAGGCAAACACAGTGGACAGCAGTGCATAATATCTCTACTGCGGTGAAGCACTTTTCAAAATGAAGGCTGCAGATTTATCACACACGCATGCGGCCGTCTTCAGATGGCTGTGGGATTTAATTAACTGAAGGGGAAAGGCTTTCATATGGTATAAAGCAGCTGTGAATGACAGATAGTGGTAGGAATCACCCATTAACTTCTAGCTCCGCGCAGAGTGTTTTACGGAGATGCCTGTCGTAAACGCATAAACTTTTAGTTTTGATGCCAATCTAAATGCGTTTACAGGCTGGAGGGTGTTTAATTAAAACTGTTTATCTACATTATTCCATAATTGCTTCACATTTCTTCTTAAGTGTTGACTTTGTTGTTGACAGAATCACCAAATGATGAGTCTCTGTCAGATGGGTGATGTTTAAAGAGCTGTTGTCCTACAGCATCTAAACTCATTTTCACCAATTCATTTAGCATTGCCTCGTTTGAATGAAACCCCCATCTGTTTGTCCTCTACTCACACCTTTTACCATATGTATTGCACTGGGCAAGAAAATACCAAACAGAACACTAAGTAAGGCAAACAGTAAGTTCAGGAACATACCAATATGCAGTATATAGTGGTAGTACTAGGATTTACTCAAAATATTGATCAGTTTTTGATGATCATAGACTTCTAATTTGTTTCCCTTGCAGAACGTGCTGTTTGCAGATGAGGGGGAGGAATCCGTGCTGAAAGTAATAGATTTTGGATTTGCCCGCCTGTGCCCTGCAGGCAGCGCCCCCCTGCAGACCCCCTGCTTCACGCTGCAGTACGCTGCTCCTGAACTTTTTGAGAGTGCAGGATACGACAAAGCCTGTGACCTCTGGAGTCTCGGGGTCATCCTGGTAATTTAAACCAAAAAATTGCTGATTCTGTCCCATCAGTAAGGTTAACTGAAGTACTAATGACTCGCTGTGTGTGTTTTCTGCAGTACACCATGCTGTCAGGCCAGGTGCCATTTCAGAGTGAGCAGCGGGGGATGACCTCATCATATGCTGCAGACATCATGCAAAAAATTAAGGAGGGTGATTTCTCATTGGAAGGGGAGGCCTGGAAGGGCGTGTCGGAGGATGCCAAAGAGCTTGTTAAAGGTATGTGATATAGTGAGTAGGTGACACATTTATTAGGGCCACATAACATAACTTGAACAGAATGTGCTTTGTTGTAGCCTGCCCGTTGGATGAGATGGAGGTTTTGTAACATCAGCTGTCAACATTTTTTTTTCCATATCGGATTGTTTTGTCTAATTCACTTATACAGGGAAATACAATACATTCTTGAAAATGTAGGGCTACAATACAATGTTATAGTTATTAAAAGGGCCCTATTGGACTCCTTTGTTTACCTGCGTAACATAGGAAATCCCTACATAACACTTTTATTGGCTAGCATTCCAGCACATTGTATATGATAGGCTAAGGGGCGAGACATCTCTAAGTGATCGGCCAACCACAAGAGAGCTGGCAAGATAACCAATCAGAACAGAGTGGGCTCTGGTTTCAGACAGAGGGTGAAAAGAGGTGATGCAGCACAGGCAGTATGAGAAAAAGAAAGAGCTTTTTGAACATTAAAGCATGGAGACCTGTCACAGTAGAGACACAAATATGATCCTGAAAATGACCAAAAACTCTACTGTTGTGTTAACTAAAACAAAAAATGTATTTATTTTTTCTCCAACGAAAGAAATAGTGATTTCTCCACCCTGGTCAGAATTTCCCTATCATGTATATCAGTCAACAATATGTCAGTCTAAACTTTATATATTCATTATTGTTATACAATAGATAATATATATTGTTGTATTGCTTTAAAGGAGTCGATACATGAGTGTATTAAACCATCCTCTATCCTTAAAGGCCTGCTGACAGTGGACCCGGAGATGCGTCTCAAACTCTCTGATCTGAAGGAGAACAGCTGGCTGCAGGGCGGAGCCTCCATGTCCACCACTCCTCTGTGCACTCCAGATGTGCTGGAGTCTAGTGGACCTACTGTCCGCACCTATGTAAACGCCACCTACAAGGTAAAAGCATTGTGTTGACAATTTAGTAAAGTTCCTAAAATAAAAGATCGTCTGAACTTCATCTTACTTTTCTTTCTTTGTTTCGCTCCCTCACCAGGCTTTCAACCGTGGCAAGAGAGAGGGCTTCTTTCTGAAAAGTGTTGACAATGCTCCCCTTGCAAAACGCAGAAAGCTGAAGATGACAAGTACAGGCGTTGAGACCCGGTGGAGTTCATCCTCTTCTTCCTCCTCATCTTCCACCTCCTCTGCCTCTGCAACAGCATCGAAAGCACAGCCAAAGCAAACTGTGAGCCCAAAGGAAACGGTGAGCCCAAAGCAGACTGTGAGCCCAAAGCAGAGCTAGCCTCACTGGCAGAGGAGAGATCACAGGGAAAGGGAAGAGGTATGTGCTTATACTGGCAACACAATATCCTCCAGTGTCCAAAAAACATTCTGCAAACCAAAAGACTGGTTTGAGTTAGTGTGAAGTTTTCAATACAACATTGAATTCCATGTTTTAACAGCAACTTCATTCACCATGCCATTTTCTCCCGAAACAAACTGTATTTTCTCTGGAGTGGATGGAAGAGAAAGGAAGTTTGGCATCTTTAAGATTGCACAGTCATGTATGGCCTTGAGAAAACTATTCGTATTCAGTATTCACTTACTATAATGGGGTGATATTACACACTAAAAGTTAAATATGAGAAATGTACCTGTTTCACTGTGGGTCAGAAACAGTGCCTGACTATATAGGGATAAAGGGAAAAGGAGCCATAAGTGAGCAGAAGCCATATATACAGCAACACAGTGAAAATATCTATTGAGCCGTTGTGAGTACACACAAATGTGCACGAAAGCAAATGAAAAGTCCTTCCAGGAATTCACAGGCTTTATCCTCTGATTGTATTTAGTTATTGTGAATGTTGCCACACATATGATTGGCAGAGATCTGCGGCCCCAAGTGCTGTGCCACATATAGGCACTGTGCTCTGTAAATATCTAAATGGTTTCCTCTTGCGCTATTTGCAAAGAATTTAAATGATAAAAAAGAAAGGCTAATTGCTGGAAGGACTGAGCGCAGAGGGGAAAGGATATGATTTGTACAAACTATCCGACACTTTGTTGTATAAATCGTCTCTATTGGATGCAGTCAGTCTCCACAGATCTCATTGAACAAATCGTGGGCCACATCTCTTGATCGATGGCTCTAATAAAGTATTTGCAAGCAATTTGTAGAGCTTGAACAGGTCGCAGTAAGTGTTCAACAGTAGTCATGGAATAGTTTTTCCTCATTACTTGCTGTAAATTACTCGCATTTTTGTGCCGCTCTGAACATTTCTAGCATGCTAATCTGTTGTGATGATGATAAACTGTAAGATCTTTATTTTGGTAGCTCTGGCTTACTAAGGAAATGTCACCCACAATGTTTTCTATGATAACAATTGCAGCTTAAGGGTTTGCGCGTAAATTGGAGCAAAATCCCTTGTTCATCGCCTTGGGCTTTTGAATTTTTAAAAGGTGTTACAGTTTTCCCTATGAGACCATCGCAAATACAATTTGATTTGATGCAGGGAAAGTTGTTCCCCCTGAATCACGCTCAGCTTAAGGGTCTTTTTACACATTTTATGGCTTTGAAACACGAATAATGTTAAAGAATGAGAATTAATTATGACTTTAATATGGTTCTGACGAGACCATCATACAACTTTTGTACATACTCTTTCTTGATTTAGAGCAAAACAAATGTATGTAATGATTTAAAATTTGAATTATTTTAATGGTATATTAGTTATCTGATGTTGTTGGCTTTTGTTTTTTACATGTTACGCAGTCAGTTGATCAATTAAAACACATTTCAGCTTTAAAGGTGCTTCTGCTAATATTTATTACATGTAATTGATTTATTGCCGTGGTAATGGGATTGATAATTAAATTGGATATTGTTGTTTACCAGCTGTGTTTGTGTGTGTCGATTTCATTCACAAGTTGCCAATTAGTGCAAATGAACATACATTGGTACATACAGTATGTGTGATTGAATGGTGCTGGGAGGTTAGTTGTACCTATGTTTCTGTACCAGATATGCATTATTACAATTGACTGTATTATTTTCATGTTGCTTGCCGCCTTTGTCTGTTTTAAAGGTAACTGGTTGTTTGTATTTGACATTTTTACTTGAGACACTGCTTTAATTGGTGTTTATATTCTGTTGTAGTAAATGATATTTTTCTTTATTTCTCTTCCTTTTTTTGAGCTTTACCATTTTACTGAGATGCACTGTCACTGATGTTGTAACTGGGAATTGTACTTTTGCGCCAATATTTTTGGTTGGTGCAAAAATAAACATAACTTTTAAATAAATGGTGTGACTTGTCTTTTTACTGATGTTATTGGTCTAATGTTTGTGATTAATAAAGGACTGATGTTTGATACCTAGTGCACAGAGTTTGATCATCAAAAAAAAAGCGTACATATTTCATAACAGAGAGAGGGAAAGTCTGGACTATAAGCACCACTTTTGGCATATTGCACGAAGGACAGGTAAGAAAAGGGGTTGTGTGGATTTTGTAGTGGCAGTATGTCAGTTATAGCAACAAGCAGTAAGTGGAGTAATTTCAACCTCTTTAACAGTGTTTCATTTCACTCAAACTACCCCACCTACCTGCTGTTATTTCAGTTCCTACAGTTGGCTACAGTGGAGCTTCTTAACAGATAATTACCGCAATAAATTATTACTTCGCCCACAAAACAGTCGTTTGTGTATTAGTATCTCAACCTATGCTGCCTTAAGTGTCAACAAGGAATTAAAATACCGAAAATATATCCAGTCCAATACATTTAATCAAGTAGGCCTACAGTAGGCCTACTAAGTACAATTGTAATGTAGCCTACTTGAGTTTTTCCATTTTATGCTCATTTGTAATTCTACTACACTAAAATTCAGAGGTAAATATTTAACTTTTACTACACTACATTAACGTAGTAGGCTACCTTAAGTTACTAATACCTACTTAGCTGATATCTAATAATTCGAAAGTACATTTCAAAATGTAGTAGCCTACTTGTAGAAACACGTTTTTATAAAAGAAAAAGTTTATTGTATCACTTCAAAATATATGGGTTTTTATTCATACTTATAGCAAACACTATATTAAGATTTATATTTGGACTAAACATTTAACTTGGTAACATGATACGTTTTATATAAAGAAAACATAGTTACCGCGGCATTAAAACATTGACAGTTCGGAGTCACGTGTCGTTTTTTCTGGGCTCACGTGTCATGGTTCTTAAATTCCGTTCGAGAATTTGACTTAATATGGTGAGCGCTCGATTCGAATCCAGTCAGTGTTCCTAAACTCATCTCAGTCACAAACACACACAAACACACGCAGAGCAGCTGTTGTTTGCAGAGAGAGACCTTTTTAACTCATTTCCAAAACCTGATAAATATATCAACCTTAGTGAGCTCAACTGTTGCTACAATGCCTCGGTAAGTAGCCTACTTGAGTCTTGTTTTTTCATTGTTTTTTACATTTTTTTAACATTTTGCAAGTCAACTTATTTGTTTAATTTGCTTCAACTTGTGTTTTGTAATGTTTTGGACTTGTATTGATATATACTATATGCTAGCAGTAATATATGCAGTTGACATCATTACTTTCAGATTTCTTAGCACAATGGGGGGGTTGAGTCACCTTATTTTCCACTCAACCAATGTTTCGTGATATAGTTTATCTCCCTTTATATTTATTTGTCATGACTGTTGTATTAATAGTGCACTAACATCTATATGGGCCTTTTCAGACGAACAAGGAGGACAGCTCCATCCAGACCTAAACAAAAGGTGTATGGCCCCCCCCCACCAACACGTGAGGAGGAAAGTGCCCAAGAAAATGACTTGATCGAGATTCTCAAGTCATTCGGATGCTTTGAGAGCAACGTGGAGCTGAGACACAGGTGAGATGCATATTTATTCATTAAGATGTAATTAATACAGCTTTGAGAGGTAGGCTTATGATTTTAAGGGTACTTGGGGAGGGGATATATTCCTTTAAAACAACATTAACAAGCAAATGCCCAGGTGAAAGAGACCACGACACTTCAGAGGAATTACAAAGTCTGAAAATGCTCTTTGTGTCTTGTTTGCAGAGAGAATGTGGTCCAGAGACTGGATGTACTGTTCAAAGAGTGGCTCACAGAGATGTGTCTGCAAATGGTAAGACATCTATCTTTATAAAATATTGTTCTTTCAAAAGTAACTCCTAAAATTATACTCGAAATGTGTTATTGGTTTGGTAACATTTTCTTTGTTGTTGTAGAATTCACCAGACATTGTCCCGCAGAAGGTTGGAGGGAAGCTCGTCCCTTTCGGCTCCCATCACCTGGGGGTCGCCTCGAAAGGCGCCGACATCGACATCCTCTGTGTGGGACCGGGTTTCCTCCAGAGGAAGGACTTCTTCTCCTCTTTCGTTGGAAAACTGAAGAGGCAGAGAGAGGTCAAAGACATACGGGTACGTCTATAAGACATTCATTAAGTTACTTTTTTTACCTTGTTGCAAGTTACTGACTGTTGTTGTCTTCAGGTCATTGAAGAGGCATTCGTCCCTGTCGTTAAACTGACCTTTGAAGGAATTGAGGTAATTTGACCTAAGAAGAAATGTTGTCTCTGCAGTATTCTTCAATCAAAGGTTTGTCAGCATGTGTATTCATCTTTGTTTGTGTGCTCCTGCTACATCCTAGATAGACTTAGTCTTTGCCAGGGTGGCCAGGTACAGAGTCCCACAGGAAATGGACCTGCTCCGAGAGGATTGGCTACAGGGGATGGACCTCCACTCTGTGAGGAGTCTGAACGGTAAGCATCATGTTAGAGACCTGCGGGGACATCCTGCAGCATTAGTACCTGACAGCTGAACCCGTCAGGAAGGTTTTTGTGATGTATTTTGGTCTGCCTTTTTTAAAGTAACTCTTTTGATATTAATCTTTCTCTTGTTTGTTTTTTGTAGGCTACAGAGTAACAGAGGAGATCCTCAGGCTCGTACCGAATGTTCAGAACTTCAGACTCGCTCTGAGGACCATAAAGCTTTGGGCCAAACGTGAGTCGAGATCTCTTCTTGTATGACTAAATGAATCAGAAAATACTAAAACAGCCATAAACCTAATTGACTACATCTGCAGTGGGTTGGAGCAGATTAGATCATGCCAGTGTTATCATGAGGTAACATTGTGAAGTGGAGGTCTTCATCTGTTCTCTCATCCTTTCTCTTCAGAAAGAAACATATACTCAAACTCTCTGGGTTTCCTTGGCGGCGTTTCCTGGGCCATTCTGGTAGCCAGAATCTGCCAGGAGTACCCGAACGCCTCAGCCTCCACCCTGGTCACAATGTTTTTCAAGGAGTACAACATGTGGTGAGTTGTCCCATTTCTTCAGTAAATGCCTTCTTTCCAATAAAACAGAAGAAAAAAAAATCCACTAAACCATATTTTGTATAAATCTTGTTTTGTGACAGGAAGTGGCCAAACCCCATCATGTTGAGGGAGTTGAAGGATTGTCATTTCAACCTTCCTGTGTGGGATGCAAGGGTAAGGCCTCGGCAGAATTTAAACTACAAATATAAAATATATCAGTTAACTAACACATTTGCTCAAAAGCAACTGCAAGCTGAACATGATGCATTTTCCAGGTTAATCTGGCAGACCGCTCCCACTCTATGCCAATCATCACACCGGCATACCCAATGCAGAACACTGCTTTCAACGTGACTCCCTCCACCCTGGCCATCATGAAGGAGGAGATCCAGCGCGGTATGTCTTCACTCAGACATCCATCAGATGCTCACAGAGCACACAGTCTCAGAGCTGTCCTGTGATTTACAATCAGTTGGTCAGAAATAAGCATTTCAACTTCAATCACTGCACTGTACTTGGATTAGGTTGCCACGATTTAGCAATGTTTAACTCACATCTTTAGGAACATTACAGGAAATCATGCAAACAAAGAGGAGATTCATTTTTAACAAGCTTTCCCTTCCTCTCTCACAGGCCACACTATCGCCCGCTGGTCCCAACTCTTTGAGAAGCCCAATTTCCTCAAGAAGTACAAGTATGTAATAATCTGCCCAAATATGAACATGTGTATTAGCAAACACAATATATACTTTCTTAAATATTGACATCTCCACCAAGTTTATTAGTCATTCTTAGCTCTGATATTTTATACATTTTTGTATCTGTCTTGATGCTTTTTCTAATAGTGTAATTATGCTTTCAAAGAAAAGATCTTTATATCTGATGTTTTGTCACGTTGTGTTTTTTCTTAATGAAGATGGAACAGTGTGAAAATTCACACTGCATAAAATACTGTTCTGCTTATTTTCATCTGAATGATGTATTTGTTTTCACACGTTGTGCTTTATAGTGCGTGAATTGGTATTTGAGTTTATATTAATGTGAGCTACTTAAGGCAGAGTCTTTATATATTGCATACTGTAACTGATGGATGTGTTTTTAATCGACTCTCTTTTGACCTAAACACAAACTCTTCAATGACTTTTTCGAATGAACGTGCGGATGTTTGTAATTTGCTGTTTTTTTCTTTGTAATGTGCGACTGCTTTCAATTTGTACTTGATTGTTGAATCCCACTTTCTTAATGAGGGTGTATTTGTGGTTTTGTTGTTTACTGTTATTAACTGAACATTTAGACAGAATTATGTTAGTAGAAGTAGGTTTAAGAATGAGATCATGTGTTTCTTTGTGTGGATAATAGTTTAACCTATAAGAAATATTAAACATATTTAATAGTTGAATGCTGATTGTTTTATGTGCAGACCAGGTTGTGCTGTTTGTATATTCATTCATTCAAAATGTAGAGAAAAGCTGATTTAAGAAGCTGTTAACGTGTTCGGTCTGACATGAATGAGTTGTTCCTGGAGTTCCTTATTTGACTGCATTTGTAATATTGTCCAGTTTAAATAAATCTGCCGTGTGTTTTGATCCGTCTTGTTTTATTTGGACGAATGTGGAGCTTTCCTTCTAGGTTTGCACACGTTTCAACAGTTGGACAGTCAGTACAGGCAGTTTCCTTGATATATCTAAAGATGTGTTTACCGGCTTTAATAAGAAGTGAGCAGTTGTGCTGTTGAGATTTAACAATACTCACACAAATTCAACACAGAACCACCTCACTTTCTAAAGGGTCAACAGGTTTTACCTTTTAGAAAAAATGGTTACGGTTTATAATGAAGACGAGTAACCTGATTTTAGTGATGTTACTCAATATGCTGTAGCTTGGCCTGTTTTAAATGTCAGAAATACCTTCAACTATGACCATTGTTCAAATGAATATGATTGATGTAGTAAGATGTCAGCCTGTGCACAAAGGCTCAATGCTGTGACGTGTATTGCAACTGTTGTCTCTTATGTTTCAAGGCATTACGTTCTGCTGCAAGCTACTTCAGCTACAGAGGAGCAGCATCCTGCATGGTGAGTACACAGAGCATTGAACACGAGTAGCCCAGTTTGAGTAAAATTGGAATGGATTTAAGCGTTTTTGTCCACGATGAGAATGCTTTTTATGCTTCAGGTTTAACATTGTATTTCCACCAACTGTAGTGCTCTCTGAAACTGATGTTTTGTTCAATCTGTCAGGGTTGGCCTGGTGGAGTCTAGAATCCGACACCTGGTGGTAAATCTGGAGAGAAATGTGTTGGTGACCCGGGCCCACATTAACGTCCAGTCCTACCCTGAACGCAGCACGGGCAACGCCAGGTAAGGACGAGTGGTTTTATGGTTATATTAGTGTTGGTATCTTGCATATTATTCATTTACGGAATATTAAATAATGTAATAGTAATGTTTTACTCTGTCCACTCATTGGTGTGTACTTCTTCCTGTTTCAGAGAGAAAATTAGCACAGGCTGATCATTTCTCTTAAGCAGCAGTTCATTTCTATTAACTTGTTACTGTTTTTTTACCAAGTCAACTCATTGGTGTGTATTTCTGTTTCAGAGCGCCAATGAGAACAAAGTGGCTGATTGGGCTTGTGTTCAATGAACAGGGGGGCCAACACCTGTCAATAGACCTGACTCTCCAGCGCTTCAGTGACATCGGTATTTTTCTTTTTCTAAACTCAGGAGAAATTGAGCTTTGTCTTGTGAAATTATGAATCTTATTTGTATGTTGTGCTGTTGCAGTCCACAGTGTGGCATGTCGCTGTCAGACGTTCAGAGAGGGGATGAGCACCTCAGCTCGATACATGTCCCAGAAGGACTTCAGCTGGGATCTGCCTCAGGAGCCTGGCAGGAGGGTTATCAGTGAAGAGCCGCAGCCCTCAGTGAGCACCGCTGCTCCATCTCCGACGAGTCACCAGGCCACAAAGAGGTCTCGTTCGCCTCACTCAGAAACTTCCAGCAAGAAGTTTAAATCTGACGAGGGGCCGAGCGAGGAAGTCTGTCTCAGCCAATCAAAGAGTGGAGGTCTCAAGAGAGCCCGCACTCCTGAGTCAGGGTCACCGAGCAAGAGGGTCCGAACTGATCTGCTGAGGCCCGCTGAAACCTGAACGAGAAGGAGAGCCCCCCCCCCCAGCCTCCATTCATTTCATTTTGTAAATAGATGAATATATTGTATTATTTATATATATGCAAATAGCTGTATAAATGTACAACATGTCAATTAAATATGTATTTGCAAAATACACATGAACCAAAACTAGAGGTATTCTATTCCCTTGAGTGCATTTGATGAAATTGTATTGTAGTTTTGGTGTGATTCAACAACACTTTTCACTGCCACCACACCATTACATTAAATTCAACTAATTCCCTGACAGTTTTCATGAATTACAAATCACAAATTGATACAGAACACCTTAAAGCATACACTTCACTACAAAGGACCACAACACGTCTAAAGACACATAACATGACCGTAGTAGACTGACCCAAAGGTACTGTAAACACACAAAGAACTAGATGCAAAACAGCCACAAGTTTCCATTTGATGCTACTCCACTACAATTCAGAGGTAAATCATGTACTTTTACTCCACTATATTTATTTAATACTGTTAGTTACTTTTCAGATTTAAATGAATGATGTGAAATCTAATCAAGTGTTGAATCAGACTTTAGTTCCACCTGGAGTAAATCCACCAGCTACCCTGCAGTATACAAAGTCATTCAAACTAGCTGCACCTTTACCAGCTTTGAGAACACTTTCATGATCAATCATTATAAAACATATCATATATATTATTCTGAAATGGACCAATCTGCACAACGACTACTTTTACTTTTGGGACTTTTAAGTGTACTTTGATTCTAAAACTTTTCTACTTTCTACATTTTGAATATAGGACTTTCTTGTAATAGAGTATTCCTACACTCTGGTACTTCTACTTTTACTGAAGTACAATATCTGAGTACTTGTCCTACCTCTGTAAATAATATATGATTATAGAGGGATGCAGAAATGGTCATTGTGTGGGCTTTTAAGGGTAGTTCTGAGTAATGCACAATATAGCCTACTGCTGTTGTTTTTCACTGTTCTAAAGATGAGTACAATTATTTTTCTAAGGTTCTCTATTGCTAGCAGAGAGCCATTATTGTGTGTAATGTAAGGTGGCTGCTGTGTTGCTATGCCCACTAAAAGTCAGTGCTATGATACTTTTAAATTCCTAATATCAGACCGGCTACGTTTCCCCATTAGACTTCATGAAATGTCGAAACATTTCTAGGAACCAGTGCTGGCCATTAAATAGGAGGAATAAGATTAAGATTAATATACATTTTACATTTTAAATGCAGAACTTGTACTTCTAATGGTGTATTTCTATACTGTAGTAATACTGCTTTTATTTAAGTAAAAATATCTAAGGTCTTTATCCACCTCTGCTCAGGTCTAGACAGCAATTAACAGCGCAGGACAGGAGGGACACAGCCGACACAGGGCAGGACAGAAAAGGTTGCAGAGGCATTGGCCGCCTTATGATAGAACACCTTCATTACACAGAACAGGACACTTAATTACACCTTCTCACTAAATCACACCTTTTCTAATGTATCACCAAGCCAGGAAGCCGTCAAATACATTGTGAAGGGTTTGTGGCCCTAAAGAGAACATCGGATCACAGCAGTGATTTCAGCTAGATACTTTCCTAACTATGACAACAAAATGATAATGCTGTCATGCTGATTCTTTTATTATTGTTTTAGCAGGTGAAGCTTTAAGAATCCAAGCGGCTTTCATTTGACCATTTGCACTAAGCGTGTTGGACAGTTGAAGCCAATACAAAGGCTATTTGTTTAGCAGGTATTTGGTCATAAATGTGAGTTGAATGAAATGTCAGGGGATCACCAGTTATAAGGGTTTATCCTCTGAGGACCATGAATATCTGTCCTAGATTTCAACACAATCCATACAGTTGCTGTTTGTCAGTCTGTGTTGAACCCAGACGGGCACTGCCATGGAGCCACAAAGGTGATATCATATTGGTGGTGATGATGCATGTGATGACACAAAAGCAAGGAGAAACCAATAAATGTGATTGGCATGCTTTGCAGGCCACTCATTGATCGCTGGCAGCAGAAGAATTCCCAGCTGAGTCTCTGGGCTAATCACACTCTTCGCTCGTGTGCTGCGGCAGAGGCCGCTGTTCTTGGCACCGCCTCGCTAACAAACAGCTGCACTTTCTGAAGGGCAGGACTTTTGTCTCTGCAGGAGGAAGCATTATGTTCACAAACATAAAGACTCACACTTTCATACACAACAAGAATGAACGCCAACAAACTGTTTGGGGGGGAAAACAGCTCTGATGGCATGGTAGATTAAACCACATTTAAATTGTGTGTGGAATTAAATATTAATTACAAGGCAGGATTAAATTGTAATTTAAGCATAGTTCCGCAGACACCCGTGCAAGTGTCATAAAATCTGTTATTATCTTTAGTAGCAATTGCAATGTAGCAAATAATACATGTCCTTTGCGATACAATACATTTACGGCTGTGGACAACAGTCTTGTGTACTGTGTTAGTGTTACAGTTCCTTGTGGCGGGAGACCTTGCAGCTTAAACTAAGCAATGGAGAGAAGTGCACTAAAGACAGCAGTGTACTGTAGGCAGAGAAGAAAAATGAAAAGCATGTGAAACTTTCCAAATACAATGTCAATGTTGGCTGTTGCAGGTAAAACTTTAAGGTCACCTGCCACCATGACAGATTTTTGTTATATTAAAAAATACAATTAAATTAACAACATTTAAATAAGTCAGAAATAAAGTTGATTTGTTACCTATTTCTGGTTACATTGACAATTCAAGAGCACAATAGTTAATGAAAGAACTTAATGTAGGAGAGAAGCTGCTCCTGAACAGCTGTCCAATGTAAGCATCACATAAAAAAAACTGTATAATAAGCGTCTTAACTGATGAGAGTGCTGAATCAAATATTTAACAGGCGATTCAAATGTGGTTTGTAGTAATGTGATGCCCATTAAGAAGCCACACCGCTCTATTAGTTCACTGATACATTTCCTGAGCTCTGACGCTGTCCGTGGTCCTGAGCGCTGCACCATTAACTCCGCACCACTGGGGGTCAGTAGGGGGCTTGGCACTGACAACAGGAGCTGTTGGGGCTATATATATATATATATCTTTATATTATTTAATAGTTTAACATTTATTTTCTTGCTGTTTATAATGTTTATTATTATTATTATTATTATTATGTATTTATATGTATTCTTAGTTAGTCATAAGTTAAAGTAGTTTCTATGCTTTTATTTTGAAGGCATGTTTTGGGCACTGGGTGATTAGAGCACCTGGTGTAATTGTATATATTGGAGACAGGTGGGTGGTGGGAGCCAGAGCACTAGTAGGCAAACGGTTTTTTACCAGGGTGTTTCGAGCCACAGGGTTTTCCAACCACAAGAAAGGAAAGCCATAGGAAAGGCTTAAAGGAACCAACCATAGGAAACCTGTTCATTGTCAATGATATTGGATCATAATAAATGCACAACTGAGAATCTTGTCGACCTGGATCATTGCCCTGCGTAAGATCTGCTATCGAGTGCCTCAGCGGCTGTATTATTTTAAGTTAATTATCTGTTTTATTTCTATATGATTTTGGCCGCTACAGGAGCCACAATGAGCAATTGAGAAGCAGTGGATAACATGAATATAATGTGTCATTAATCAAATCAAACCCCGGGTGGATGATTTGCAGAATAAATGTAATATATTGAGCATGACAAAGACAAATCTGAATGGAGCACTTGATCAAAATCATCAATTACAGGATGTGCGTCTTGGAAGTAACCCAAGAACTGAGTGCACTTCTTTCAGTCGGCAGCACACGCACACAAAAGGCGGAAACATGTTGAAGTAGCACTATCATGCTGTAGTACCTTACTTATTGATGAGTCTTCAGAGTGGATCACACAGACGTGGGCTTAGATTTCTCTATTAAACAGGTCAATGCACAAGCATCAAGACACCATCTCCACTTGTGCCTTATGATGGAGACTGGACAGTACTACACGGTTACTATACATGTATACATGTTTGTTATGTATTTTTTATAATATTTTCAGAAGTAGTTTTCTAGTGGTATTTGTGATGCATTCTCATGGTGTTCCAAAGCCTCAAGAAAAATAACCAATTGATTGTCATAGTGATGTGAACATTATGAATGGAGAACATTATCGGAAGAAAATAACACATTAATCATGTAGGAAGCATATGATAAAAAATACTATTTATTTGCATTCTAGGACTTCTTGGATACAGCCATTTTGAAACTTCATCTATACAAGTACAAGTTATTATTTCTCAGCCTCCACTGTACCACTTTTGAGCATTCTTATTTTCGCGGTTTGTCACAGAAGTTCTCCAACTTCATTGATATGCTGCTAGGTTGTCGAAAAACACAGTCATCTTTTTGCCCTATTTTCACAGATTTAGGTATCTGCTGTTCAGCATGGAACATTTAGCCTGAACAAGAAGCCAGAAGGAACACTAAACAAGCTAAAAGCAGGCTTTGTTTAAATTATGGGTGTCAGATTATCTCCTTAATGTCAGGGTCAACGTTTTGAGCTGGATGACTGTGCATTTTTAGAGTTCATGTCATTGCATTGAAAAGCTTTCATTAACCCAAGGGTCAACACATTTTCATTGCTTGCAGCTTCCTTTGATTAAAGTTGGAAATGACAACCAGTAAAGATTCTTTCACCTGCCACTGACAGTTTGTAAATTACCAGCGGTGTGTAAAATAATAATTTCCAGCTAATGATTGAAACCTCTTTCTCTCTGTTTTGAGTGTTAGTATGCTCAATGAGCTGCAGAGTGCATAGATGGCTGACAATCCTTGTTCTGATGAATGACTGAGAAGGATCCTCTGCTGTGTGCGTCTACTTCCTCCTTCTTATCGTGTCCTCTTCTGACTCTGTGGCATTTATACAAGCAACTTTAATTTTGCAGTAGCTAACATCTGTGGATAGATGTCAGAAAAGTGACTCATGCAATGCGCACAGAGCTGCTTCCACTTAATCATGCAGGTCGACCCT